CAAACACACAGCCAAGGAAAGTCTCATTCGATTTCAGAGAAAGAAAATAAAGCTGCTAGATTAGCTCAGTCAGTCACCTGACCTGAATCCTACTGAAAACGTTTGGAAATAACTAAAGGTCAGAGTTCAGAGAAGGGAAACCTTCAGGATTTGAAGACTGTTTGTGTGAAAAAATGGACCAAAATCCCACCTGAGTAATGCACGTGACTAATTTGTCCATACAAGAGCATCTAGAAACTAAATTTAAAGACATCTGTGGTTAGATTTCTTTGCATGTATGAATAGGATGTGTTGTAGTTCAGATCAATAGCACCTTTAGAAATATATTTACATAGAACATGCGTGATGTGTGCAACACTTGTTCATTCTGCTGTGTATCTGCAGTGACTAAATCATTCATGAGATATGTAACTTTTCTTTTGCAACGTTTCTATTTTCTCAGTTTAAATCCACCTCACAGGGTCTATGACGTGTACCAGAAGGTGGGCTACAACTGCTTCATCGCAGCTGCTATGTATCTAGTGTGTGGACTGTTCTCCTTCTGCCAGATGAAGCTCAATCAGAAGAAGGTGAGTTAATGCTTCTGACTTTTTACCTTGCAGGCAGTTGAATTTATTTTGGAAGAATCACAGGATCTCGATTACAAGAGACTCCATCTCGTCAAGCTGTTTGCTCTTAGCCAAACAACGTTGTTCAGTTGAACAATTTGATCCAGTTAGTTTCTTTTGAGGTAGTACTGGAGATTGAGATGGGTCAGTCCATGAAAAATCCATAAATGCTTCCCATGTAACTGTCCCAGACATCAACTTTAAAAAATCCCATGGAAAAAGACTTTTGGGCATCCTTGACGTGATTCTGGTAAACTGTCAGATGACTCAGGACGGGGAAGCATTGATCTACCCACGCAGTATACACTGCAGAGGGGGCATTGCTGACTTCAGTTGAGAAATACTGAAAGAACCTCTTTATCCCGCTGACACGCCTTCCATAGAGGAGGCAGAGTCTTTGGACGAGGGTGACGTCACTCAGGCAAGTTAAACTTCAAAGGATGAGGTCGGCCCGAGTTCATGAAGCCTCTGAATGTTGTAGGCCTATCTTGGTTGGTGCACCTTTGCAATGCTGCATGGAGATCAGGGGTGGTACTTGTTGGTTCCCATCTTTAAGAAGGGGGTCCAGAGGGTGTGCTCCAAATATCGGGGATCACAGTCATCCTTATTTCCCTGGGTAAGCTGGAGGAGGTGGCTGGGCAGAGGGAGGTCAAAGCTTCTCTGCTTAGGATGCTACATTCGTGACCTGGCTCTGGATAAGCAGACGAGTATGGAGGGATAGTTGTCTGTTTTTCTCCTGCAGCCCTGCATGTCCTCTTTGCAACAGTCATGAGGTTCACTTTATATCAGTTTTTCTTCTTCTGCATCTTTCTTTTCTACTTTTGTGTCCAAACAGCTCAACTATCTGTACGTCCTCTGATTTTATGGAGATGATGGAAGACAACTAGTTCAAAATTCATTTGAAGTAAAACAACCAAAAACAAGCCAGAGACATGAGTCATGATGAGTTTATGGTCTTTCTCTAAGTGTTATTAAATGTATTATGTCAATTAAACAAATAGGACTTTTATTTAAGGTCAAAGAGGATTCACTATAGTTTGCTTTCTTGTTTAATTTATAAACTGATGGTTTATTGCATTTGCTACAGTTTCTCATTTCTGCTCCTCTGTGTTGTTCTTCAGGAGTATCTCGTGCAGTAGCGCCACCT